ACAAGTGGTAAATAATAATAACCAACTATATAATATTATATAGATAGTGCGGCGAATATTATGTAGGTAAAGTAAGTGGTTAAACGGCATATAATAATATAAACTATAAAATGTATATCTAAAATGTAAATCTTCCAACATTTTTCAAAATTACAAAACATAACTAGTAATTACAAAGAGAATATATTATAATTATCTCTTAGACTCTTAAAAATATGGTTACATACAAATATATTAACTAATTTAATAGAAACTATTTGTAGAATACATTTTCAAAAATCTGTTTTGCATCGTTTAATGATTCTTGGAAATGTCATTAAAATGTCGTTCATGGTTGTTTACACTCAAAGCTGACGGGTTTTCATTTTTAATTACTTAAAAAAATTTAAAAAACAATACTAATAATACCAAAACCTATCCATACATAGAGTACTTAAATCATAAACATTAACATTTTAAAAATATGGTCCGTGATTTATTTTGTGAATATGAATTATATTAATCAATAACCATGATAATAGGCACGCATATATTGTCATCGGGTTTCCCGGAAAAGTACAATAGGAACGAAAAACCTAAGCCGTGCAATTTTACCCCTCGACCAGCACACAATGACGTGGTACGTGATCCATTGTACTATATACCATCTACCCGCTTTTCCGCTAGTTCCAATTATATCACTACTTGTCGCGTAGTGCGTGTATTTATTACAAGTGCCGAACGACAACCACGGGGTGTCGGTAAAAACAAACAGCTGCTGGAGCACCTCCTACCCAAGGGATTGGACTCAATGGTGGTGCATGTAATCATGGCTATTATACTGAATGTGAAATAACCTCTTGCACTTTAGAACTTGAACGCACTTGCAATACACAAAAAGTAGATGCAGATTATAATATTTTTCGCATTGAGAATAGGTACACATAGGTATTATTATGTGCTCGTTATTATCAGCTACATCATTAGCATATCATGAAAATGACCTATATATTATTATTTTACAGCTGATGCTTGATATTAAAATTAAATGTAATATATAGTTTTGTAAAAATGAAAAACTACGAGTTTTTTTTAAATTAATATTATTAAGAAATAAATAATAATAATAATCTCTAATTCATAGTTTGTAAATAATTGTCTAGACCTAGACGCGAGCCGTATATTCTAAGCCATTTGGATATACACTATTACACTATATTTACTGTAAAATTGAAATGCCTAATAAATATCGGATCATGTTTAATTTATATTTTGTACTTTAATTAAATTTAAAATCCAAATATGTAGGAAGATAATGTTACATTTATGAACTCGTGTTCCAATCTTCTTCAGCAACAAGCATCAATCAACATGTAGGTACAACTGTGTAAGTAGATAATATTATATAATAATTTTTCAATTTAATGTTTTAAGCATAATACATTAACATACATACAAATACTACCTACCTAATACTCTTGTATATTTTGAAGTATGACATGTATACAGTGCCTATATCTATATTAAAAATATTTTTTTGATAACTTACCGAGAAAATGTTTGTTACCATTTATATAATATGTACTGCTTATATTATGTTTGTAAGTTAGATTTTTCAGGAAAAAAATAAGTTATTGGTTTTAAGTTTTAACATAATATGTGCATGCATATAGTTTTTCTTGGAAAGTTCTTTTATATTTCTGTGTCCCAATCCGTCTAAATAGACAGCCTAACTCTATATACTCTATAGACCGTCTCTCTCTTTATCTCTTTCCCCCTCTCTCTCTCTCTCACTCTAAAAATATGTATATATACACACATATATACATATATATGTGCGTGTTTGTAAAATCGATCGAACGCGAATTATATTTACATTGCAGGGGATCATACTAAGCGTTTGTAAGCATCCAAAATTATCTTTATTTCCTGCTGACAGATTCAAAAAAACAATACCAAATCCTTAGGTACCTATTTATTATCTATACTTACAACAGCATTAACACATTGAGTATCGATTTTTATACCTAAGACCCTTAGGCTTAGGAATAAAATTCTAATTTTATATTAAGCTCTAAATTTAAATTATTTTAACTCGATAATCGTTTAAAATCTAATCATTGATAAAATCGTCAAATTTTTTAATTGAAAACATTTCAAAAACAATCAATATATTGTATATACCTATGCACCTACTTACCTATAATTGGCCATTATTATGTTAATTTATTTTTGTTAGTTAAAATAAAAAATAAATAAACATTTAAATATTTAAATATTGAACATTAAAATAGTTTAAGCCTATAGATAATGTATTTTAAATATTTCTATGTATTGTTAATGTTGTCAAAAGTAGTTAATTAAAATATTAAATAGGTACCTAATTTAGAAGATATATTGTGGATAGTACCTAATAAATTAAAACTACTAATATAGTAGATACTACATAATAAATGATGATATGCTAATGTGGATCATCTATACAGTTGTAGATGTAAAATCACCGAAATACCACATAGATATTTTCAAATGTATTATTATTTACTGTATTTCGGGAATTCGATTTAGTTTCAGCTGTTTTATGAACTCACGAGTTTACAGTTGTAATATTGTATATATTATTTATAAAAATGTTTGTATATTTTGACATTGTAGGTATGCAGGCAATTTGTTTATATGATTCTACAGGCCTCGTGTACCATTGATTTAAAAAAAGAATAGAAAAAATCACCAGATTTTATTACATAAACATATACATCCTCATTATATATTGGACATTTTTAATTCTATTTTTTTCAGAATATTCTATTCAATTTTTAAGTGTATGAACAATTATTAACACTGCATTTATATTAATAATCATTAGTATTAATTTTACTTAAGTTTTTAGCTCTAAAATTAGATTTTACCGAAATTTGTTTAGTGTGTATTTCAAAATGTAGTTGAAACTCCAAAATAAAAAATGGGTCTATATTTATATGAAAAAGATAATATAGTATAATATATATATATATATATAAATCTATATCTATACTACTATATAAAATGAAGTCGCTTTTTTTGTTCGGGATAAACTCCGAAACTACTTATTCAATCGTCGTGCAATTTTTTTTAAACTAAAGAGAACATCACAGAGAAGGTTTAAGGAAAAAATTTAGACCGATAAAGTTAATAAATCATTAGTTATTATTAATTAAAATAAATGTGTAAATTGTATACCTATACCTTTTTTAATGAGAAATAGTCGCTGGCTGAAAATAAACAATCAAACTCGACAACCACAGATGCTTCTAGGCAGGTTGGTATCGACATGGAATAATAAACAATTATTATAATTATTTAATTAAGAAAAAAAAAAATTTTATCTGAGTATCTGTTATTTAGTATTTATAATCAATGTTGTTACATTAGTTATTGGTAAAAGATAACTAATAACTAATCGAATTTTCACAAATTGCTCGCTAAGATGGTTGAGTTGCACTTATAGCCGCTCGTGGGTATATCCAGTCAAAATAAAAAATAAAATAAAATTAATAAATATTATTCATATAGAGTATTTACCTAACGTGGAGTACGATAGTAATAGTATATTATAATATAATATCCTACATGATAATATATTGCTCGCATTATAATAAGCGTGTCATGTATAGATTTGGCATGTTCTACGGGCAACGAATTGCACGGGATCGGCTAGTTATCTATATAATTATTAATAAGTATATTTGGGATTCACACACTTATTTATTAACTGCTAAGTAGTATAAGTACTATAATAGGTACCTACTTATTTACTTATGCAACTACTGAGAACATGAGAATTATTTTAATACTTTAAAAATTATACAATTTATAGATATTATTTAACTTATTTTCCACATTTTTTATCCTTACATCAGAGTGGATTAACTCAGATCCTTTAAAACAAACTTATATTGTGTAAGAAAAGAAGAATTAAATGAATAAATATTTATTAAAATCTATGTATAAAACGATTCAAGTGACATGTATTCGAGTGCACTTCGAATTTTTTATAAAATACTACTAGGGTGTCATAAATATATGTAGTTTTGTAGCTTAACATGAAAGGTTTTTTTATAAAAGCTGAGACTAGAAAAATAATTGTTGTATATTCATATGATTCTTTCAACAATTCTTTTGATCTCGTAATGCATTTCTCGCCTTTGATAAATATCAGACAAGTACAAAATATCGGATGGATTACATTATGAAATTAAATATGGTATAGAGGACAAAAAAAATGTATTTATTACAATTTTAACCGGTTTTGGAAAATTTAATAATTACAAGTACAATTTTTAAAAGGGACCTACACATTGAAAAATTAAAGAAAATAAGGAATTGTAGGTATTAGTACCTATAAACTATATAGTAAATTTTAGTAACATCCATATAAACATGTGAGTTAATTAAAAATTAACTAATTCATAATGAAAATCTGATTTTAATCGTAGTTTATGTGATCTACATTAATACATTTAATATTTAGAATATTCAGAATATTCAGAATAAGAACATTATATAATATATTATTATAGGTGGTAGTTGCTAGATAGAACATATAGGTATCTCAAAATAATTCCTTCGAGTCCTAGTCATTAATTTTTTTTCATAAATTCTAATTAGATTTTTTATTTTTTATTTTTTTTGTAGGTATTTCTACTAATACCATGTATCTACGGTTTAAAATAAGCTTAAGGTACACGTTCCTAGATGCGTTTACAGACGTTTCGTTACCTATATGATTGTGATAGCTATTTCTTATTAATATTAAATATTTATAAAATGATTTTTTGATTAAAAAAATACTCACAAACGTCAATTTCCAATAAAATATTCTGTTCAATATATTTATTTTAAAATAACCAGGTTTAGTCATACATAGCCACATAGGCGTATGGTGTACTTTGTACATAGTATCATTTTTATTTTGATACTATAAGTCTGCGTATTAATCGCATAAATACTACACCTATAATTTATAGCAGGTACATACTTACTATTCAGCTATTACGTCAGACGAATTCAAAAAAATTAATTCGCCGGTTAAAGTCACGATGCTTTTGTAGGCACATGGACATCGCATCGCATAATGTAAGAACATAATCCGAACAGCGTACGCAAAAACTGTACCTACTTTTAGCATTTAATTTTCTTATAGGGATAGTGTACGTTTTTTATACGAGAATTATAATTATGAAACGATATGCAGAAAAATCGAGGTCGATCGAACGAATAACACACAAGCGCGAACACGAGACCGCACACACGCACGACTGAACGAAACGTGCGTGAAGAGCTTCGGTTCCGCAGGAAACAGCAGCAGAAAGCGGTAGGGATTCAAATAATATCCAGCTGTACAGGGCGGCCACTGTCGAAACATGACGTATACAGTACTGCTGTATTTGTGATCGGTGGCTATGTATACCACAGAGCGCCGGATACCTTCTTTATATTATTATTATTACTATTATTATTATTATTTTTTTATTATTATTATTATATCGATACATCGATGAGCGTTTTTAAAAAAAAAAAACACAAAAATACTGCACGCAATATTTTTGTATCCGGGGTTACAACGGCGAGTACAATATTGAGAACACGTCAAAATATTAAGATTATATTATGTTATATGAACATATTTTATACAAGCATTTATATTAAAGGTCATAGGCAGGGCTCGAAAGTTTTAGCAAATGCATATTTTTTTTTCTAATAGGTCTTAGAACATTTTAACAAAAATACAAACTTGTTTCACACTTCCTCGTAGATATCGTATTATACGACATTTAATTTCACTAATTTCTGCATATTCGTGGGTATTACTTTTATAGTGCTACTTTTTCTCTATTTTCGGGTATATCCTCATTTACAAATGGAATCAAACACATTTTGTCGGTGATATTTTTAAAAAGTTTTATTTCTCATACTTTCCAATTTGAATATTATTTACTTATAGTGCATATTTTGGCATTTTTAAATGTAGGTTTATTAAAGAGGTAAAAAGTAATTTTTTAATGCTATAACTTCCAAGTCTTACGAGTCCTAACTGCAGGTTATAGGTAATTCCTATATAATAGCAGAGTAATAAAGTGTCCACAAACACAATTATTATAGAAAAATAATCAAATCCATAAACTCTTTTCAACGACAATTTTATTATTGCAATGACTTGAATGACTTGTGTGAATTAATTATTAACTAATGACTTATACCTTATTTGGTTAGTGGTTACCTATGTACCTATTTGTATTTTCGTTTGTACAAAACCTCTGTTTTTTAGGGCAAGAATGTATACAAATTATACTTAATCTAAATTGGTAACATATGCATTTATAGTTGTAACTTGTGTTAAAATATGCGATAAAAATATAATAAAATAAGTATACAATGAATTGATCAATAATTCCCAAACTAGTATGAGGTAGAGTTGCATCTTAAAATTTTGAAACAGATTAAATAAAGTTTCTTTTTTGTGTACACGAAATCACTTTGATTAGTTTAACGTATTCTTAAAAAACTCCATATCATTTTGTTTAATTTTCATCAATAATAAAATTATTACATTTATGAAATTTAAATTATAGGAGCGTAAACTAGCCAGCTTTTCATAACTTATTCGTTTACATTTTAAAATTTAAATATACCATATACAACATGTATTCATCGTGATTGCCTAGTTAAAATATGCAATAATATTAAAAATAAACATAGATCATATTTTGCAAAAATATGCACTAAAGGTGATTTGTGAACCAAGCTACAACCAAATCAGTAAAGAGAGCTGCAAAAAAAAACATACAATTTACCAGCATATAAACTGTAGTCCTGTTAATTGTCATTGTGACGCGCGATAACTAAAATCATTAAGCCCAAAACTTTAACAATAATCTTTTTTTATAAAATAAATATCAGTTACAACAATGGTCCAATTAATATAAATATTTTTTCAAGCATTTTTAATTTTTGGGTAGTTACAATTTAACAAGTTCCTGTAAATATTAGAACACGCTTCACAGTATACCTTGCGCTTATTTCATGTTAAGACATAATATTTTAGCATATTATATAATTTTGAACATAAATATATTTTTATTGAAATAGACTTGGTTATTTTTAGTTTAATGATAAGTATCTATAGATATATGTACGAACATTGGGTATAATCATATAACTTTACATAATACAACGTGGATATTATACACTAAAATGGTTTATTAAAACACAAATGCATAAAACTGGATTTCCGTTATAGAGAGCAGAACAAATGCAAACCATCTGTCCAATTAAAAGAGCATATTACACTTAACCCCCGCTGGCTGCCATTTTATTGTTCCGGATTTCGGAACCCTAATTTACAACAAACACTAGCCGTCTAAATATGAAAACCCTTCAGATTCCTTATGAGAGAACAATTCTCATGTTTAAATCGCTCAACTCAAATGTCTAAATATGTTTTTTATTAAGACACTTCACCATTGATTTGAAACCGAAAACAAAACTGATGATTGAATTATTGTGTAATATTTTTATTAATATATAATATGATCGTCGTTAGATATAGGTACATAATATACATGAGTATAACTGTATAAGCAAGCATATATGCTGCACTCTGCACCGATTACCAGCTATAAATATTATATTATATTGTTCAAAGCACGTTTAAAATAATTTAAACCTTGTTTCAAAATGTGTTATCTACCAGGTTTTCGGTCATCGTCCGCGGTCGATCTTCGACCAGAACTTTTAACACAGCCAGCCGACAGGCGTCTCCCACCAAACACCGTTCACCGCTGACAAGTCGCCTGAGTAAGTTGCCGGCGTGCTGGACGCAGTAGAAGTCACCGTGGTCCCGGTGGACGGCGATCAGCCCTTCGGCCACGCGTTCCATTGCGTCACCGTCGCCGCACTTTTTTCCTTCGTTTGCGGCGGTGGCGACGTCGTCGTCGATCAACCGGCTACAGAACTCGGTATACGCCTGACACGCGGCCACCGCCATGTCGTCCACGACCGCTACTGCCGCAGCCTTTAACAGGCAGCCACCCAAGTGGCCGACTACACTTTGGCGGGTCTGCCTTCTCTCTTTCGGACCACACGCTTCAAAGTACAACGCCGCCAGCGTCCGGCACAGCGACGGCACGTCGGCCGCAGACGCCGACCACTTGTCGATAGCGTAGTCCACGAACAACACGCCCAAGCCGGCGTCAACTTCGCGGACGGCCGTTTCAAAACACTCGTGCAATCGGCCCGCGTAATGGCACAACTCGTTACGCTTTATTAACGGTGACAACACCTGCAACAGTCGACGGCATCGTTGTACAGGTACCATCATGAATTCGCCAAAGTAGGCATACTCACTGCAATGGTAAATTATAAGATAAGTTACTCCAGCACTGCTAAATACGAATTTAAATTTCAAAATGATTCAATATTATGTAGGTAGCTACTCATTTTTTACAGCCAAAAACAAATTGTGTACCCCCTCAAAAACATGTGAAAACACGAATTTCTTATGTCCATATGCAGCGATTAAGTTATATACTGACCCTCCACCACACAATCGTATAAAACTAAGTAGGTACATATGCTGAATAATTTCAAAATTCAAATTTATACTTGGCAGTGCTGAGGTAACGGACCTTGAACTACATAATATTAGAGAGTATTATATTACTATGTACCTGGAGCAGCCGATTGGGGAGGGGGGCATTTTTCCATTTTTTAAATATATACATATATATTGAAATATACAACATTTTAATTTAGAAAAATAATAGTTTTGAACAATCATGTATGTACTAAATCTACCTATATTTGTTGAATTCTCTACGAATGAAACACTAGACCTCACTGCGAATAACCTGTAAAATATTTAGGTACTATATACTACTATGTATCATAGTTCAAAACGTTATTCATGATATTCAACTCTACCACCGTCCACCGTCACATTTTTTTTTATAATGTACAAGACAAAACTATATACGACTTCAAGTTTAAAAATTCGAGGAAGGTCACCATTATTCCACCATCTCCTCTCCCACCACAAAAACGCTCTTAAGAAGCCAATAACCATCGTTTAACAAATACCACAGGTCCACATGATCGATTGCAATAATATGTGATATCTATAACAGTACATACCGCAGCGTCTAGATATAGGAATTTTCAATCAATAACATAAACCTAATGCAAATTGAAGGTTGTGTTATCAAAAATAACACGTGCGAATTTTCATCCATACGCTATCAGATTAATAAATAGTTCAAGCCCGACACTACATCGACCATTTTTTACTGACTTGGACCATGAAAATATATTTAGTATTGAGCTCAACGAGCCAGTCCAGCGGTTCAATACGCAGTGTATGGAGAAAACAGTAAATGAGCTTGGTCCCGTGTACCAAAATCCACAGTCCAAATGTGTATGGCCACCTAAACAGGCAGAATGTTCCACTATTAAGTTTAAATTAAATATTTATAGTCGTATTACTTTGGTAGGTACCATAATTTTTTAACATATTATTGCAATTGCACGTCTCTAGACAAATTCCAATGGACTACATCTACATGACTATAAATATATGACATCAGAAGTGGTGTATTATATTCTATATTTTTATAGTTTTAGACATAATATGTATTATACATTTATATCTTTGATTCTCGGTAGATAACCACTAACTGCTCGTAAATTATATACGCCCTACACTACGCATTATAATTTACACCATAAAGAAAGGCGTAGGTACCTACACTATATAATTATATTTTATATTGTTTAGTCAGTAAATAGTTGGTATACGGTACTGACTACTGGTATGAGTGGTACCTATATATATAAATAATTAAATTGTTTTTTACCTCGAGCGGATGGTTGAGAACATATTGCAGGGCTTTTTATTACCTATCGAGTATAAAAATAACTTTTTAATAACCATATAATGGTACTGTTCTTGCAGACATCCAGGAAATTATATTTCCGCATTTTTAATATATACTAGGGGGAAATAATACTGTTTCGGTACACTATTAGGTACTTCATTAGATTTTTAAATAAAAGCAGCAGAATCTTGAACACAATGCATTACATAATATTTCCTAATACATTCGCAATTTTAACAACTGTGTTGCATAATTAAAGCGTTTTGAACTCCATGTTAATGTTGATAACACAACATTAGCTAATATAACTAATAAGTAAATAATAACGATTCAAAATATTATATATAGATAGGTAGGTACCTATACATATATATTATGTTAAATCAATGTAATTAAATATAATTTGTATGTGGTATTAAAAAAAAATTGTTTAGTTGGAAGTTGGAACTCGTAATCAGACTGGAGCTTATACACCTATTGGCTGGCTATTGATCATTACTTTTATTTGAATATATATTTTGAAAATCAGTATATATAATACTTACTTCATAAGTCATAAATCAATATACTAATATTATAAATGTCAAAGTCAGCCTGTCTGTCTGTCTGTTCAGTTTTCAAGCCGCTGAACCAGTTTTGACGAATTTCGTTATAGAAATAGATGGGACCTTGTAGAAAAACAGAAGCTACTTTTTGTCTTGAAACTTTATTGTGATGAGGGGATGAAATAGAGGATGGTGAAATATGGAAATATAATTAATTTTTTTTTATTTTATTAATGGTTGCCATTGGTTACAAATTATAAACCCTAATAACAATACAAATTATAGAAGGAATTATTATTTTTTATAAGTGACATTCCTAATTTACAAACGTTAACTCTCCGTCGCCGTTCTTTGGGTTAAAAAGAGTATAAGATGGTGATAATATCCTTTACACCCCCAAAAGACAAAAACCATCAGACAAGCGATAACCTATTAGATCCAATCCTAAATAGGTTAGATTAAGTAAAAACAATATACTTGGTTATATCTTTGAAACTTACGTATCTCGCGAGGTTTACAATCCATCGCAGGTGGATTGTCTACCTGATAATATAATGCCCGCATTAATCACAATACTTAAATTCTTATCAACTCAGTGGCCCAGCAAGTCTATACATAGGGGGTTTTGGGAATTTTTTAATGAACTTTTTTTGACCAAAGATATCTAAGATAGTAAGACCTAAACAAGGTGACTATTTTAATTAATCAATTTGCATTGAAATCATTACAAAACAAAATTGAATGACAGGCAACAGTACACGTTTTTAATTTCCAATTCTATGGCACAATATTTTTTCTGATAATTGCAGTACATGAAAATCGATCGAAAGTCGATAGGACCAATTAGTTATTTATCTATACCGAAATAACTTTTAAAGTTATAAGTATTTATATTTGAGATAAGCGGAGCTTACTGCCGAGTGGCACACTGGCACGAGTATACCTATACATTGCAATAATATGTTGATCTACTAAACAATTCCACTCATCAAAAAATATTTAAAAAATCGTAAATAATTTTAGGTAAAGTGACCATTTACTTTTAAATAATCACTTCGTATACCCAGATGGCCAGATATAACACTATAACAATACTACCTTTTTATTGTTTTACAACCTTAGCTATCATCGGTGACTCCACCAATCTGTGACACATTAAAGTTTTGAACAGTTCCAGCAATTCTTTGACGCCTATGTTGATTGATATGTGACCATAATCTAAGAGGGAGTTTATAGTACCTTGAAGAATATATCTTTTCAGGTACATAGCCTTCTTAAACAGCAGAAATAATATCTCTTTCAAGCAATCTCTTTCGGTTTCCACACAACTGTTGTCCATTCGTCGTATTAAAGCGTTAATGAATGTTTCGTCTACATATGGCATTAGTTTTTCTTCATCAAAGCCATTTAAATTCAAAAATGACAAAAATACCTTGTAAACCGGATATAGCTGCTTCAATTCCCACAACATTTCAGTGTTGATTTCGCCATCGGCTGTATACGAATACAGTGGTAAATGCCGAAATACGTTTTCAACAAACATTTCTTAATTTAAAAAAAAAAACAAACAAATATAAATTTGTGAACGAATCAAACACTTCATATTTTAACATGATTGATGAAGCATTCAACTTCATTTAAAAATACAATTATTTCTTTAAATACAAATTATAATAATAAATTCACCACATATTGTTTTATATATTTCGGACTGATACGAGCTGTCGTTTAATTTATCATCAACCCATAATGTGTATAATTTATTCAAAGTGTTAAGTTTATATTTCAAGTCTTCGCCATCAATGGCCGTGGGTACAGGGAAGTATTTTGAACATGAGTGTAGCATATGTACCACAATCAAAGATGCATCTATATCATCCACATAACAGTATGCCATAATGTATTAATTTAAATCTTCAAATTTTAGATTAGCTTTAAAATAAATATCTATTTGTTATAAATGAGTTATTAAAAAATCCCTTATTTATTTTTGAACATTACTATTGCTATTACTATTAATGTTACTATAGCTATATAATAAGTATATTAATAGTAATATAATTGTGTTTGGAAAAATAAATGCACCTGAAATCCTAGCAAATGCTGCTGGCCAAAAGCTGCAGGTCGAAAAGAATGATGAAGGTACTTGTTGGCTAGTAATAAATGACGCTGTATTCGTCATCAGGGCAATTTTCAAATGTATAGGTCTCCGAAATTTGTTGATTTAGCTTCACTACCAATTCTGTGTTCAACGAACATCGATAACATCGCGGTGTTACACACATCGTACAAAGATACATGTAATATAATTTGTCGATAAGACTACGGACGCACTCGGGCTACGAAAAAGGTAAAAATTAAAAACGGGACGCACTCGGGATATCCCCACGGGGTGTGAGGGGCGGGAAAACATTACCCAGCTGTATATAATGCCTAATACAAATATTATAATATCCAACTTATAGGCGCAGTACACGCTCACTACATATATTATGCACAAAAAAAATACAATAATAATAACAATAATAATGGCCCGGACAGGCTACAATTACAATAATAATAATTACCTAATGACAAACTCCAAACATGTGAGTTTGTCTACGTAAATGATTAAATGAAACATCAAATAATAATAATTTGACCTGATCTACAAGCTCTAGAGGAAGGCGTTGGCTCCAAGCTGGTAAGTCTTCTCCCTTCTCGATAACCCTGGTACACTGGTATAATAATAGGTATACGGCGGGCAGCACAGGCAAAATAAGTTGAACTGGACTGCGGTCTGATATCGGCACTTACTAGTCGTGCACGACTGCGGCGAAACGCGTCAGGCCTCAACTATCTCGGGACTTACGACAATTGCTGCGTACAATTAGCACAAGATGGCATACGCTCACAACACCCAGAATTTCGTGGTGAAGCGAGGTTGTGGCGGACGCGACGTTGCGTCTAGCTCGACCGCTGGAAAAAGACAACTTAACGAACGCCGGCGGCCTCTGCCTGCAGTAAGTACGCAGCGGCAAACAACCGGGCGCTGGACAACAGCGGAGAGGGTAAACCCCCTCGCGAGCGTGCTGTGTCCGATACACCGCTGGGAGGAAGTATGACGAAACGTTGGTGACGCGAAAACGAGGTCCGTGTTCGAACAATGACGCTAATATACTACAGTGTAATTTAACCGAACGTTATTTTTACCGGCGTTCTGCAAAAACTCACCAAAGATAGAGGACCAAAGCGCAGTTTCAGTAAGTGTCGAAAGTGAGACAGCTCCACTTATGGCCAATGATACCGTCGTCAAGTGGCGACGCCACGACTCCAAAATCCGAGGCAATCGATTCCACTCGGGATCCGTAGTTCGGGCCACTTGGCGACGGAGTGAACTTCATCCAGCTAATGAACCAGTTTATGAAAGCTTTCAGGAGGCGAGCTTTACAGGGGCGAAGACGCAGCTAAAGGGAAACGCCAGAGAGAAAATTTCCAATTTATCGAGTCACTAACCGCCGATTCTTGAATTAACGTCCCGCGGTAATCCAACATTGGCAGGATCGCTTGTCCATCGCCGTTACCGCCGATTCCGCAGCGCCAAATCTCGATTTGCTCGTTCCGTGTTCACTGGTTTCCGCTGTCGCCTGTCCGACGTCAGAGCTAGTTGTCACCGTCGACCGTCAATGAGCACGACATCAAGCACTAGCCGCCGCGGCCGTCTCGATCTGGCCTCGCCGGCTGGGCACGGTCGTCATGCATCTTATAGGTACATATAAACTGTACCTATATACATACTTGAATTGTAAATAATATATAGGTATAGTGCGGAACGCACTGACGCTCCCTCTTTCTACAAAATATGCGGACTTTTTATACATTTCACTATTTTTCATATAATATTATAAAGTACCTAGGTAAACCAACACCCACACATTTATTATAGGCATTCTTAAATCCTATAAGTACATCAAACATAAATAATAAATCACTAATTTTCAGTTTTCTGTTGAACGTTTTAATTAATTAAACAACAAAATATGTAGGTACCTGTAGGTAATATGAAGTGAGTACAAACACTATCATTGAATACCTATATGGTTAATATTTCAATTATTCTTACATGTCCGACCTATGCACTGCTCCATCTCATACCTACCCTCCGCACAGTATGGACAATGGAGCAGCGTATGTTCCACTGAGTCATCCGGCTCCTAGCAGTAATTACTGTGGGAATCAGCCGCCATGTCCCGACAGTCCTTGAGCTACGTGAAATAACATATTTCCGAGGAATCTAGGAAAAAAAATCCCCGGAAAAAAAATCCTCGGAATAAAAACCCCCGGATAAAAAATCCCCGGAAAATAAATCCACAGGAAAAAAAACCCCCGGAAAAAAAATCCCCCAAGATATACCTAACTGTTCTAAAATAATAATAATAATATACAATAATTTAAAAAAAATATAAAATTTGAATGATAACTATTATAATATTATCTTGATCACACAGCTAGATTACGCAAAAATTAAAAATAATTATGATAATAATGAACAAATCACATTGCGTATAAAATAAAAATAATATCTATTTACCTATATAATAAAAAGGTAATCAGTTCTCTTGAGTATGTTATTACTCACAGTCACAGCTGTCAAAAATTTCCCAAAGTAAATTTTGCAAACCTTACAAAGCAAACTTAGGGGATTTTTTTTCCGGGGGTTTTTTTTCCTGTGGATTTTTTTTCCGGGGACTTTTTATCCGGGGGTTTTTTTCTGGGGATTTTTTTCCGAATACCATTTCCGAGCCTTGACTGATTGGCTATAGTCAATTTGCACCAAAATGTATATAACATGTGTAATTTGCACCATTTTTTTAAAATGCGTTTGTAATTTGCACCATCCTCAGGTAGTAAGAAATAGGAATTTTAATTTGCGCCAAAATTAAAATCGATTATTTTTTTGATGGTATCTCGATAGTACTAACTTACGAGTTTGAGCGTATACACATATTGCTGTAAGTATATATAAAATCATATAATTATGAATATAAAAAAAGTTAGCCAATTAAAATAATTATATGTAAAATTTGAAAAAACAATATAATATTCCATAAAGATGTCTATAATCCTAATATAACTTTAGCTTAGATTTTAGTTAACAGCATTGTATGTACCTACTTAATTCTGTGATACTGGAAATTTTGGCAATATTTTCTTCTTCGTATTATACATATTACGTCTTAAATCAGAAATATCCTTAGTAGTAATAACATTGAAAACTGTTGAATTTTACACTACATTTCTTAAAATTTTAGCTGGTTTTTCATATGGTGATTCTCGTGCTTTTATTTTACACAGTTGATTTAATTTATGAACGTTTTTCGAATCGTGATTTATATGCACAATTTCATCGTGGACAATCGTCATATTTTCACATGTAGTAAACAATTTTGCTGAACATTTTCTCTGTGGAGTGTGGACAACGCCAACGAATTATATTTGTAGTTTTTGTCTTATATGCAAAATAAAAAGTATGGTTAATGTATTCTAAAATATCTTCCATTCTTCCCTGCGATTACTTTTAATTATCTTGACACCCATATTTTAAGAAAAAATTAAAAATTTCACTACAAAAATGTTACGTATTACGACAAGACGGAAAGACTAAATGTAGAGCTTAGTATTTGATCAAAATAATAAACTGTTATACATTATATATACATGTATAACTTGATTACGACCAATAATTGGACGTAAAAAGTCAAAATATTACCAGATAAGGTGAAAAATCCCGAAAAATTCTTGTCATTCTTGTCCATCTAACCTTGACGCAAATGAGGATATCGAAGTAGGTATAATCGAATATTCGATAATCCAACGATTAAATTATCATTTTAGTGCAAATTAAAAATTCTATTTTCGACTATCTGCAGTGGTGTAAATACATATCTTTAATTTGGAGAAAATTACAAACTCCAGACTGATTCACCCACCTCCGGATATCTGGAATCAACCTCCAGGCTCCAAGTCCAATATATTATATACCTGCACAATAAGGATCAGTAAATTTTATACACCTAGTAAAAACAGATTTATTTTATTGTGTGAAGATATAGATTAAATCTTCAAATAAGAATAATTTTGGTTGTCTAATAGGTACCTAATTGTTATATTAATTGTTGTACAATATTACTTCCACGTTTAAGTCACGTTTTAAGCGTGATATCATAAGATCACACCACCCAACGGACCGTATCATACATAATATGCGCAATATTTAGACAAAATTATACTTTTATTGAGTTCAATTTCTATATTTTCACACATAAAAAAATCAGTTTTAGATCCTGAGCGGAGCGATGAAATGACGTGTTTTTTGTCAGTCATCACCTTTTTGGGGCAGTAAAGTGCTTCGATATTTTCAACAGCATCTCGTGTGGGATGAAAATGAATCTATAGTTGGTACTTTGAGGGGTCAAAAGTAAAAATTCCCGATAGTTTTCAAAAGCCGCAGGAAAAACTAAAACAATTTCTGAAAAACAGGAATTTTTACAAAAAAAAGGTTTCTGACAAGATTGATTTTGGTTTTTGATTTAACTCAATAAAAAATACTGTAGATACATGAAATTGTCACTAAATGTTTATATCCACTTAATAATAATAATATATTAATTACCTAATACCAAAACGAGGAGCCAAAATGAAATTCATGTTTGAACCACCCTGTAACAACGCATTAAAAAAGTTTTTTAAAAAAAGCCTAAAACACGTCTTAACGAATTTATGGATATAATCTTATGGTTATTATAGTTCAAAAGCACGACAGATAGATGGCAGCAATAGCCAATAAAAATTACAATACCATGTCAGAGCACTTAATTTAAAAATTTTTTTAAGCAGAAACATTTTTTTTTATGTTTTCGAGTAATCTTTTTGTGAAATCACCCATCATAAAAACGATGGTGAAGCGGTAGGGTAGACATCGATTTGTTTAAATATTGTTTTAAAACAATTTAAATTTACAATATTTAATTTTTATTTTTAAAGTCAAATCATTTTTTCTTTAAAAACGGTGAGTAATTACCTCGAAACTATTATCATCTATTATTTTTGTAATAGGTAATTTTACTCAAAAATCCCAAAAAAAATGATTTTAGATGAAAGCCTTTCATGTATGTTACAAGCTGGTCCGAGAAACAAAACATAAAAAATTGCACTGACATCCTCTTATGAGGATACCATACCAGCATGCATTGCCTCCATCCTGCAAACAATAACATAAAATAATGTACTTTTTGAATAATTTGTTTAACTCTGTTATACTTAAATTCAAAGTGAATTGACCTATTACCAAATTTAGAAGTATGAATATTATCTAATACCTACTATCAAAAAACTTATCATTGACTTGACATTCTGAGTTCTGACTTTTAAATTTGGCAGTAGATCAATTCACTTTAAATTAAATGCATCAGAGTTAAATTAATTATTCAGAATATACTATTTGCTATGACATGCATAAGTACGGAGACAACATAATAATATGCAGGTATAGTGCCCTCTAAATGTATTACATCTAAATTGTGTACATCTCTGTTATTGAAGTCTGTTATCCGAAAAAAACAATAGCTGTATATATAATATTATACACTAGGTAGCCCATATTACTATAGAGATAAATACATAGGCCATAAGGTCTCAAGTCTGTATACCAATGTGAAGCGTCATGTTTGTGGTCTTTCAGTTTTCAGCATGTTTGAAATAACATTATTACTATGTTAGCATACTCTTAAGTGCAAGATTATTACTATAGTTGATAACATGATAATTCTTGTGGAAAAATCTTCATAAATAATCAGAAATGTACTAAAACTTAATTAAATTGCTTTTCTATTCCGTTTATAGAACAAGCCATTTCACTCTTGTTAGCAGGAACAAATGAAGAATATGTAGTAAAAATATAAGATCAACATAACTCTGGAAAAAAATAAAAGAAAACATTAAAACAAACAAGTGTAATGAAGAGATGGAACTGGACAAATGGAATAATAATGTAACTGTTTCAGTTTTCAATGTTCAATAATCATTAATTTAATTTAATGCATTAGATTATAAAAAATAATACTAACTCATAGATTGAAATGCATTAAATAACACAAAATAGTTATAAAATAAAGTAATAAATATTATTTATTTTGTTTTATACAAAAAAAATATATATATATAGTTATTTAATAGTACAAAATAAAATACATAATTAGGATTGAAAATTATTACCTTATATTAGATCTTACTAATTAATAAAACTAATAAGACATAAGACTATAATAAATTTAATAGAAAAAATAATGGATTACAACTATTTTATAAATAGCTGACCTGGTAATTTTAATGATGACTTCAAAAATGTAAAAAAAAAAAGTTTCCAGAACTGAAAACATGTAAAAATGTGTTTGGTTGAAAATTAAGATATGTTAGTCTGTACTATACACATTCCATACTTACCGAAGTTACTAAATATTGTAATGATAAGAATAGTTCAAAAAAGAAAATAAGAATCGTTAACTTTAATAACCACAAATCATAAAAAAATATTTGTTGTAGTTCATTAGAGTAACACATTCAAGTAACACCGTCATCACTTCCATTTGTTTAAAATGTTTCAGCTGCTAAATAAACTAATATCATTACAAAAATTAAAACAAATTGATATACCTAAATATAAAAATGTAGAAACATTTGTTGTGAAAAAATATCTTTTGCCGTATACTCAGCTTAATATCGCAGCTTACTTCATTTTTTTAAAACTTACTAAGGGCGTTATTATTAGAGTTAACAATCATAAACCATAAATTAGTAACTATAAATAAGATAATTTACTAAATTACATTATACCGCCCTAATTATCGAAGTTATGTACACAAATGAATGACAGTAAATCATTGTTTTACTTTTTTTTTTAAATATTTACAATTTTATTATATAATTTAGTCAAAAATTCACGACTTGACAGCATCCTTTTTATTAGAATCATCAGAACTAACAGATTTGTCTTCTTTTTCATCTAAAACAAATATTTAAGATATTATTTAACACAATATATTTAAGCATTAATATAACAAACTTAAAACAAAATTGAGCCAATAAAATGAATGCACTTTGGGGACTCACCCTAAATAGTAAATACAACACTGCCTATACTTGAAGGTTGTACAGACCAGAGCAACATAATTTCATAAAACTATATAAGAGAACATAACTTTATTAAAAACTTGCAGAACCTACCCATCCATCCATTTAAAATTTTAAAAATCTGGAAGTAACTGATTTTGGAGAACATAATTGTTCACGCCACTGTAAGCAACTTTATTCTATTAAATTAATTATTATCTGTGTTAAAAATTAAACAAAAGGTCAACACATAAGTAATATAAAAAATATCTCAATATGTGTACGTACATTTTATTAAACTCTAAACAAATAATGGACATTAATTAGACAAATTAAATAGAACCATTTAAAGGGAAATATTTAGCAGTTATTTATGAAAAGCACTTAGCAACCTTCATACAGGACCTTGTGTTGGAACATTAAATAGTTAATATTTTAGAAAATTTATTTTTGGCTAAAAACTTGAGTGTACATTCTTTTACACAGATTTGTTTTTATGAAATTTAAATTTAAAACGTCACAGTAGTTCCACATTTAAACTTAAATGATTGACGTATACAATGGGAATATAAAATTGGCATTTAGCCACTGTAGTTTGATACTACATTTTTGTTTATGTTGCGGGTCAAAAAATAATTACCTTTTAGAATATTAAATTCAGGTTCATCTACTTCCATCCTATTAGAGTCCAAACGTGCTTGTTTTCGAGCAGGTGTAACCGTTTTATAAGATCTAAAACAAAAATAATATAATATAATACATAGAATATTATAATAGTAAAATAAAACAGACTACAGTACCTGTTATCTTTTCGGCCACCACCCCCTACTCCAGGAGCCATTCCTTCATCCTCACTATCGCTAAACTCATTATCAGGTGCAATTCGTTTGTCTGTAATGGACTGAGGATTCCTTTCATCAGGGTTAACATTATCTTCATCTTCAGACTCATTACGTACACCGTCTTCAGGAATAGCTAATAATAAAAATAAGTATTAAATAGTAAATAGATCATTCAAAATGTAAATATTTGTATTACGAAATAAATCATTTAATTAAAATTGTGAGTATGATAAAATTTACCTTGGACTTGAACTCCTGGGGCGTGAGGTAGCATTCGTAAGTTTTCGAACAGTCGGTTTTTAATTTTTTCTAAATACTCGGTTGCATTTGTATTGGTCATATTTGAAGGACTAATATGAAGTTTGAAATCGGGCCCAAAGTATTCAAAATAATCATTGTACGGCAATTCATTAGCAATTTCAGCTCCTAATGCCACAGCTGTCTCATATGTCCAACATCGAGATACATTTCGGATAGTATAACCACCTCCACCAACCATAAGAAAAGGTAAGCCATAACGTTTCACAAATTCAACACATTTACCATGACCTAAAAATGTTAATTAAGTTTTTTAATTTTAAATAAATTAATTAATTAATATGAAACTATCATACCTTTAACAGTTAGATTAAAGCATCCAAGTCTGTCTCCTGTAAGTGAATCTGCTCCACATTGTAATACAACTGCACTAGGTTGGAACGTCTCCATTACTTTAGTAATTATTGGTACGAATATTGATTCATAACTATCATCATCCATTCCATCTCTTAGCGGAATGTTAACGGCATAGTATTTTCCTTTTCCGGCACCAATGTCCTAAAATGAAAAAAACATTTTAATATTGTAATCAAATAATTTATTTAGCAGGCAGCAAATTTTTTTTTTTTAATCATGATGTATATTAAACTCTTATATATTGTGATAACTGATAAAAGTCTTTAGAAGACAAATAAATTAGAAATTGCATAATACAAAAAAAAAAACCAAAATTAATTTTATATATAATCTACTAAATTATTTAATTACATGCAGAAATCTAAAGAACTACAAACATTATCATTAAGAAAATATTTACGAGGCCACATAAAACTAATCCATAATGACAGATCAATTATTTTACTATTCATTAACTTACTCTGAGATCACCAGTACCAGGAAAATATTCGCCATATTTATGGAATGAAACTGTCATAACTCTATCGGTAGTGTAAAATGCTTCTTCCACACCATCACCATGATGGACATCAATATCAATGTACAATACTCGTTGATGATATTTAAGCAATTCTAATATACCAAGTACGATGTCATTAACATAACAGAAGCCACTGGCTTCAGATTTTTTTGCGTGATGGAGACCACCTCCCCAATTGATACAAATATCTGCAGATTGCTTATTTAACTTAACAGCTGCTGCTACTGAACCACCCGCAGATAGCTGACAAAATTCATACAAACCGTCAAAAACTGGACAATCTTCACCCACATTGACTAAAAATGGAAATTTAAAAAAAGGATAGGACCGTTTTAGTTTATTTTTGTTTAATCAATATTTACAGATACATTTGATTAAAAGTGACAGTATACTTACATCTTTGCATTTGTTTGTTATAGTCGTTCATATTATCTGGACGAATACTTCGTAAAAATCGTATGTACTCATCACTATGAAACTTGGTCATTTCTTCAGCTGTTGCTTTATGAGGTCTCTAAATCATAAAAATTGATTTTATTAGTAAATTACTACACTAAAATATATCAAACTTACATATATTTCCATTTTTCGGTATAAACCGTAATTTAAAAGTAAATTATGAGTCATTCGAATCCTATGTGGTTTCATAGGATGACCTTGTCCATAATAATAGTTTCCTATATCACCTGTAAAAAATATATAATAGTAAATTACATTGAAAAGCTTTTTGAAATTGATATAAAAAGTATCCTATCGATTAAAAGCAACCATAGGCAATAGATCTTTAATGCAATTTTAATTACTCAACTACCTTATACAGTACTTGAGTATTCAGCTGAGTGATATTTATAAATATCTGAGGAAGATTATGTATTATATTATACACATTATATTAAGTTACATTTTTATATTTTAAGAACTCACAAGAATTCACATATTTTTGTACATAATATAATCTTACCTTGAAACTTTTAAAAAATTTATCATTTATTGAATATGCACCTGATTGGTGTATTGTGTATGTACAAGTGTTAAGTTAACAGATCATATAGGAAATTAACTAAACAATGTTGTACCTAATTTATAATACTACAACAATAATTATTTTAATAAATCAATGTATTATGAATCAAAACTGTTGTCATCATTGTACCTATTATTAAAAATTTAAATCACTTATTGAACTTCTGTCAAGATTGCTTGGTAATGAGTTAATTCAAAATATTGACCATTTTTAAATTATATTATGAATATAGTCATCAGTGGGGCACTCTATAGAATTATGTGGTATAAAACTATAAAATGACATGACTAAAATAATCTGTAAATTATTGTTGATACTTAATGGATGTAATATTGGTATCCTGGTGTCATGGTTAAGGTTAACATAACAAAAATGGGTAATAAATCAATTTTTTTGGTTATAACTGGTATAAAGTGATCAACATTTGATAAGTATAAGGCTTAGAAAGAACCTTATGTTACTAATATTATAAGCAAACAATACATAACATATTCTGATTTGATAATTTATTTCAGTATTTTATGAAAGATAAACACCAACCCTAATGATTATAGTCAGGGACGCCCGGAAAGGGGGGCCAGTGGGGGCCATTGCCCCCACTGAGATTTTTTGTGTCAGTTACAAAATTAGAAGTTTTTTTACATAAAGCTGGTCTTAGGTATTTAGAGACTATGCGACAATCCTTGTATCTAACAAGTCATATAAAAGCAGCATGTCGTAGACGAAAATAGAAACCTTTTGACAGACATTATTATTATTACATTTATCGTATTCTGGGTAATGTGTTCAGCTATCATGGGTAGAAATGTGCAATAACTATATATAAATCATTATCAAACGATTAACGAAATATTGTGTTTTCCAAGTCCACGTATTGTTGAGTGTTGACCGTTGTTAGCGTTGTTGCCCTACAATTTACAAATTAACCAATTTTTAAGTTAAAATAATAAAAAAATTCGTTAAGAAGTGCAAATATGGATTCAGTTCCTAAAAAGAAGAAAATGAAGACACTTGACTCCTATTTTTCAAATGATAAAACAAAAAAAGTAAGCTCTTATATTGGATTATTTATATTTAATTTCTTGCTAATATTTTATTAAAATTACATTCTACCATCATAACAAATTTAATGTTTTTGGGAGTTAAATTAATTACTTTAATACTAAAAGAATGCATTTTTTCAGTTAATACAACTTACACAAAATAAAATTGTTTTTTGTTTAAATTTTATTATGTTTTTTCTTAGAAATATTAGAAATAATAGGGTCATTGCTGTAATTTTATATTTACTTAAATTAGTTTTGATTTTTAAAAAATTATAAACTATACTATTACTAAATATGAGTAGATGAAAGTGTAGCGGTAAATCTTCCCATAAGTATTTAGGTACTTACAATTTTTTGCCCCCCCCCCCCTTGAGCTACATTGCTGCGGGCGTCCCTGATTATAGTATTTTAAGACAAGACAATTAAAGATAATCCCAATAGATATATATTTACATTATGTTACGTATTCAAATATCAGAGTTTAGTAAAAATTAACTAGGTACAAATAGTTAAATACTATTTAAAAAAGTACTTATGATTAAAAATATAAAATTGTTTTTAAAAATGCACCTAGATAAATTAGATAGTTGGGTATGCGTGGGCAAATTAAAAAAAAATCAATTCATAGAACTTATAAACATATAATGAGTAATAATCATTTGTTTGGATGCCTCACAAAATGCTATAAGTACCTACCTAAATTAAGTTTTTTTTTATTTTAATTTAGGTAATGATGTACCTAGGTATGTTTAAAATATCTCAGATCTATAAAAAAAAATCAATAGTCTAAATATATTTTTATTTAATGTTCTTGTTCAATAGTTTTATTAAAAATGAACAGATATAAGGAATTAATTAAAACATCACTCTACTTTAACTATATAAATTATAGTCATGAATCAATTAAGCAAATAAAAGTACCTACAACAAAATAAACATATTTAGGTATAGTCTAAAGATTAATTTATTTTGCATTATTTACTTGTTATGTTTGTAAGTCAAAACTATGAGTATTTGCTAACAATTTATTAGCAGTACCTACATAAATATAATAGATATTTGAAGAACTATAACAAAATAATGATCTTAGTTTAAATAAATATTATAAATAGTTTTGAAATTTATATTTTGCCATATGTGCTGAGGTAGTCTTAATGAAATTTTAATTTGTTATAAGTATTATATATTATACACAAAGAAAGTTTAGTTCTTAACAAAATGTGTAGGTATAAAAGTTAAATTTCAGAATTTTTATTTAACATAATTTACCTAATTTGTATACATAATAAATATGGCCTTAATTAATTATTTAATCAACTAAATTATATTTAATTACTTGTTATCTTTATATAGAGTAATTAAAGTCATTAACAATTATTAACTAGTTTATTTGGAATCGTTTATACTAGAGATTTTTACACAAAGTAGGTACCATACAATTGAAGATTTTGACTAAAACAAAAAAGCACACATATTATGTGTACGTATTTATTCTGTGTGCATAGAAATACTTAAGGTAACAATGATAGTGAACAAACAGATACCTAACTAAAACAATTTAGTAAACAGCTTTGTTAGTACCTCATTGTGATTTGCTTGATTACAACACACAACAGAGACAGTCTCTAATAGACAAATATGTCATCCAGAAGTACAGGACAGAATTTAAAAAGAAGAAAACTACAGCAGACTATGAGCATAACTATGGTTTTCTCATTGTATGCAGGTTGTGCGGAGACAATTCACAGAGCCGGGGAAACTATCTGGAACTACCTATAACTGACTAGACACCAAAACCAGGGACGTCTTAGTTGTTGCTGGAGTGTCAGAAGCATTGGACGGTGACAGCCAAGGGCACACAACAGATTTAACAACGATTTAAACGATACTCACTGTCGTAATAATAACAGACTCTTTTCTTGAAAGGAGTGATTGACATTGCGGCGTCCTAGGTCTGCTCGGTGAGTTAGGAAGTTGTTGGAGTTAGCGGTGTGTGTGCGTGTGGCGTTCGGCTAACTGGGGGCCCCCCCCAAAAAAAGCGCGGGCCGACGACGGACTGGTGTTGCGATTTCGGCGACACGTCTTCTCCGTCAACAATACATGCGTGCGACCAACGGCGAACTGGTATCGGCGGGGTTACTCGTTGCGCACGAACAACCGTTGAAGAATAAACCGTGGGAACCGAAAGAAATTAAAAAACACGAATAAAAAATTAAAATTCCCAAAAACCGTCGGCGCCGCTAATGATGCACGGGCGGGTTGTGCGGAACAGTGAAGTGATAAAATTAAATTTAAAAAACAGTCGGCGTCGGCATAGACCGGGAAATTATTATTGTTATTTACTATTTACTATATAGAACATCGCCGCATACGCGAGTCGGAAACGTAAAAAACGCACCGTACATTTTGAGCAGCTAATGTGTTCGGAGCCAATCGCGAATGGCCAGTAAACAAACAAACGCCATTGAGATAAACAGTGCGGCCGCCGGGCCGACAATCAGGTCCGGAGCCGTGGCAGCTGCAATTTTGAAGCTTTTGCAGCTGCCACGGCCACATTCAGTTGGCCACCGTGGTCAACCATGTGTTCCTTATCTGGGCCCGAGGTCGTCACCGTCTCAGGTTATTCGTCGTGATAAGAACAGAATAAAAAATTAAAAACGGATGCGGATTACGGATTACGGGATACGAGTACGACGACTTTTCCCAATTTCACACCATTTGTACACTGGGGTGACTTCGAAATGTGGTACGAAGCCTTACCGTCCGCCATCATCGTGTACGTGCTGTTGAGCGTACCCGACGCGTTCAACTCCCTCTCAAATAAATTGATATACAAGAATGTGAGTATCTGTTTGTTTAAAAAAATTTTTAGGTGTCAGGAAGAATTAATATAATATCGTAATTCAAAGAATAGATAAATAAATGGAGTAATCCTATCGGTCACTGTCTTAGACGTAATCTGGGGTAAATTCTTGGGAGGTAGTCTGTGGTATAACTAAAAATCTATAAGGTAAAACACAATAATAAATATAGTGAGTGGTGACATTTGCATAATGACTACCTATTATGGCTTTAAATCTATAAGTTCATATTTTTTTTAGAAACAAATTTTAAGTATTTTATAATTGTTAAAAAGTAAAAATCCTTTGAAAACTACTTAAATGTTTTTTGGCTATCTCAAACTAACTTATCATTCATAATAAAGACATTTTCAAATTATTCCATTTATTATTCTAGGTTTACAGACGTGATATTAGTCAACCTTGGCTTCAAAGATATTATGCCAGAGACTGGGAATTAACTGGTGATCCCTACAAAGCACAAGTAATATACACTTCTTTATTTTAATTCAAAATTTAATGATCCTAAACTTTACTTAATGGTAATTTGATTTAAGGGCCTTGAAAGTTTACCCAGTAAGCCTACCGTTACTGGAATTGATTGGCATAAATATGGAAAAGGACCAAATCACTCATTCTATGGAACTAAAATTTAATAATGTATGAATTGTAGCTATAATAAATATTTTAGAAAGTTGTTAATGGAAATTGTGAAACCATATATCTTGCTAATTATAATTAATAAATATGTAACATAATATCTAAATATATACTTGGTGTATTTTAATAGTTTATTTTTTTTTCCTTTTATTTCATTAAGTTTATTTATTGGTGTAATATGAATCATATAATTAAAATTGATAATCAATACCTAGCAATAATGTACTTATATAAGATTTATACATTTTATACATTTTTAATTTCTTATTCCAAATCAAAATATTTTCCCAAATAATTTGGATAGTAAATATCAAATTTTGGAAGAATAATTTATGACATTTAAGGATTTAAAGTTTAAATAAACTAAATGAAGTGGTACCATATAAAATCCACTAATCTGTTTGCTAAACTTGTAACCATAATTAGTTTCAAAATAGTTGAAAAATGATATTAATATTATCTAAAAATCATATAGATATATCTTTATTCTCTTAAAGATGAGGGAAAAACCTTTACTTAATACAAAAATAATCAATGAACGTCAAAATATGCATACAATATATTATGATGTATAAGATGAAAAATGAATAATAATTGTAAAAAAAGGAACACATATTAAAAGCATCATAAAGATAAAATTATTATTTTATTATTTAGTAAATGTTAAAAATATTATTAGGGTAGGTATTTAAATTATAGTTACAATAATAATTGAAAATTAAAATATATATGAAATGGAGAAATGGAGAGAAATTTCTCTTAGAAACTTAGAACATTTTGATATATTCCCTAACCCCTGAAATATCTTCATAAAAAATGTTATTTTGAACCATGTTGACACAATGTCCAGGTTTTTTATTCTTATGCAACTGCATAATATGATAGGTATATAAAACCTAAAAATGTAAACTAAAATAAACTGTTAATAACTCTTTTGAAACATGATTTAAATACGCATATCAAAATTGGAAATACTTCTAATATCAGCTGTTGTGTTGTTGAACAATTTTATTTTTATTTATCCTGTGGAAAAAATTATAATTATATTTTTTGTAATGATAAATTAACATTAATAGAACAATCACAAATTTATATATTATAATATATACTTTCATAATTACACTAATAAAATTATTATGTTGTTATTTATAGAATAATAGTATATTTTCCCACTTAAATAAAGATATCAATAATACAGTATATTTAACAAACTAATTATGCACAATGCTGATATTAAAAAATATATAAATTACTTTTAAAATTATCAAAAGAATTCCCATATTATTCTTTTTATTTGTCATTATACCACACAATCAAAATTATATTCTGCTTATTAAAAATCAAGTAGTCTAGATAAAAAATAACATGTTCATGATGTAGAATATTGGCGTCTTAAACTGTAATACAATATTTATCACATACCGCTGGTCTTGGCTACATTAAGTGAAACATTTAACATGCACAACAAAAATTGAATTAATATCTAATAGCTTATAAAGAAAATTAAAATCAAATTGTTTTCATTCAAAAAACATTACACAAACAATAATAATTATTCCTACTTTATAAATGTAAAACATACCACATAAAGATTATAATACTTTAAGTAATATAGTTGCCCTCATAGCAGATCCAATTGCACTTGCATGCAACAGATCAAAAACCATTACAGAAATTTTACGATTATTAATAACTATCTAAGAGATTTCTTCGTATTCATCTGAACGTACTGATGGCGATGGAGATGTTCTTGAACTTTCTGATCTTCTAAATATTGACGGAGACATTGCTCTCTTTTTTAAGCTAAATTATTTATGTTCATAAAAAAAAGAAAAGTATTTATTAATATAATTGCATATTTATTATTTTTTTTTATTTACTTAGGTAATGTTGAAGGTTTAAAGACATCAGTAAGTTTCCCTCTAGAATCCTTATTAGTAGATACATCAACATTGTAAATACTGGAACTGCTTTTAAAGGACTATAATAAAAATGAACAATTAAAGTTTAAAATTATAACAGGCATTCAATATACATACCAAATCGCTATCATTATCAAAACTTTTTGAACTTTTAGTTAACTTCTTTAGCTTGCCAAAAAGTCCTTTTTTCTTAGTTTTTTCTCCACTTACAATATCGCTTTTAGAAGAACTATTTGATTGTTGGCTAAAAATTAATTAACTTGTTCAATTTTTATATTTAAAAATATTTTGAGTGATAAACAATAAGAAAGTACTGATATACAGTGTCATACATTGTATTTTGAACCTATTCAAAATCATATATATAAATCTTATATTTACCAACTTAAGAAACATTAAATTAATACCTGTCAAAACTATTTGGTTGTTTGGTAAGCCTATTTCTTGACTGACTGCGTTCATCTCTTTTCCATATGTCCTACAAATATTAAACATCTTAAATAGGCCTCATCTGACTTAATTATCTCATTTTTATCTAACTTAAAACTCACTTGATCAGTATTCCCGAAATTTTGTTCTAGTGAAAGACTCTTTCTATACAAACTACCTCTTATTGGAGGCTTATCATTAAAATCGTTTTCAGTTGATGAAGACCTATACATTAAATAAACAATTAAACAATATTAACATTTAACTCTAATTTTTCCAAGATTATCATTAGTGTATGATCTGGCTTCTGGTGTATTAGAAAATATTTTTAAATCACCCAAATTCCAGACTTAAAAAAAAAATTTGTACATAGCTACATAAAATGTAGTACTTTACATATTTGTTAAGACAGTTATTTTTTCAGTAATATATCTACCAAACTAACCAATTGGTTTGATAAAAAAAATAAGAATTTTGTTTAAATTAATTTTATTATTTATAATATTGTAAATAGTCTGTTGGAATTTTTATAAATAAATTTAAATTTAAATATTTTAAAATTTTCTTGATGACATTTTGGTAAATCTACTAAAAATTAATTAATTACAATACATTTTACCTGACTCCAAAAACTGCACGTTTTGATCTGATATCTTGTTGATTTGTATTTATAACTAATTCTTTAGTCAACTCATTAACTTTATTTAATAATTGTTTGATTTGTTCATTATTATTGTTATTTAGTGCTTGGTTGGAATTGAAATCTGGTGATGCTTCTCTAGACGTAGATGATTTCCTTCTAGCTGGTGGTGTTGGTGCATTTATTGAGCTTAAAGATTTATTTGTCAGTTCATAGTTTTCATTTACCATGATAGTTAAACTTTTGATCAACTGTGATAAATTATTAATTTTAACCTCAAGCTGAGGATCAGTTCTTAGCCGAACATTGCATAATCTTAATGACTCGCATTCTTGTTCTATTTTGTCTTTTTCTTTTCTTAATTTTTCATTTATTGTTCTTAATTTTGCATGAGCATCTCGTAAATCCATAAGATCACATTGCATCTAATAAATAAAAAAATAATGATTGAACTATTAAAATGTTTTCAACTTAATCAATAAAATATACTTATTAGGTAAATATATTCTGTTACTGAATAGTATTTAGTATTAAAATTCATTATTGAGAAAAAAATGATATATTTATTTAGATTTAATTAAATATACCTAAAATAAAGTATTTAAACGTGTTTATTAATTAAATATTTATATCTAAAATAGGTGTATATATTATATTAGGTTATATAATATTATTATAAATTTACAATTATAAAAATAAGTACCTATTTTAATACCCAATCAACATTTAATGTCAAAAAGTGTAAAGTTTCTGTTTTCTATTATGCATATATATGACATATATTGTGGTCAGCCCACAATAAAAGTATATTAATTCACATTTTAGTCTTTTATTACATGCATTTATTATTATTACATCATAAGATGTAAATATAATTATATAAATATTTATTTATATTAGAGATATTATATTAGCAGCGGCAAACAGATGTTATTTTGGATTGGTCCCTCTATTTAAATCAAAGATATTATCATGGAAGACAAAAATAACCCTTTATAAAGTACTAGTAAGACCTATAGCTTTGTATGCATGTGGGACGTGGGCCACTAAAAAAACGGATGAACAAAAATTGGCCACCTTCGAGCGGAAGATATTAAGGAGAATCTATGATCCGAAAAAAAATAACGAAGGAGAATACAAAATAAGAACAAATCAGGAGATCCAAGACCTGTACGGAGAACCGAATATTAACGGAATTTTAAAAAGTAGTAGGCTGAGCTGGGCCGGTCACGAGTGGAGATCGGAGAGGCCAATTGGACAGGTTACGAAATGGAAGCCAAATACAAAAAGGCCTAGAGGACGTCCTAGACAAAGATGGAAGGATAGAGTGGTCAAGGATTTGAGGGAACTTGGAATAGAGGATGGGGAAGAGCTGGCAAGAGACCGAGACAGGTGGAGGCAAGTGGTTGTTGCGGCAATGGGCCTGAATGGCCTGTAAACGCCTAAGAAGAAGAAGAAGAAGAGATATTTAAAAGGTCTAGTATAAAACAATGAGTGTTGTTAGATTGTATTAGTTAAAATGTATAGAATATTTGCTCTATATTTTAAAAATAATTTAATCCAACCTCATTAGTTTTCTTCCTATTTTCTTGTTGGTCAACCTCAATATTTTTTGTTAGCTGATCTATACGTCTTTTTGATTCTAAACGATCTTTATCTCGCTCTCGTTCAACCTTATAATATTAATAAAAGATTAAACATTAATATGACTCAAATATTTACAGACTGAATAAAATAGTATTTTAATTTACTTCATATAATGTTTGTCTTAGATCTCTAGCTAATGTTGAAGTTTCTTGTAAAAGACGTTGTTGTTCTTCGCGTTCTTTTTGCCATGCAAGCTCCATTCTAGCCTTCAGCCCTGTTAATTTAGATCTTCCTGAATTCAAAAGTCGTTCTTCTTCCAACTAAGATATCAAAAATTAATTTTTATACAAATATTAAATACATATATTAAGAAAATGTTAAGCAGACTTTATTAATAGAAGATGTCATTTCTGATTTTGTTATTTCCCAGGCTGATTTTTCTGACACCAATTCTGTTTTTAACCTTGAACATTCGAGTCTTGCTTCTGAAAGTTGTTCTTCCATACAAGAGACTTGTTGCTGTAAAACGTAGAATTCTTCTTTCTAAAGATTATGGTTTAAATAAACAAAATTTTAGTCAAATACGAAGTCAAGAAACCATAGAAATATGCATCTGGATATTACCTGGTTATCATTATTTAGAACCTTATGATTTCCTTTTTGATGGTTAGAATCTGCTGAATCCAACATTTGCTTATACGAATCACGTTCTCTTTTGAACCTAAGAGTTTGAAACTGACTGTTTTTCAACTCTTCTGAAAGAACTGACATGCGATTGTCATAGCGTACTTTTAAAGCAGCAACTTCTGTTTTTCTGGCTTGTTCTTCATTGTATAACCTACAATTAATTAGATCATTTTTTTATAAAAATTAAAAAACCTTTAACATATTTTATTAAAACAGACTTTATTTTCATATCTTTCAGATTTTTTTCTAATAATTCTGTCTCCATTGACCTGCTATGCTGGACTTTGACAACTTTTTCAAAATCATCTAAATTCCGTTGTAAATTTTCATTCTAAAACATAATGTTTTATTGAAATCCATTTCCTTATGTTATGTTAAACTCCCAATTTAAATTACATCTTTCTTAAGTTTTTCTATATGTTCTGTATACTGACTACATTGTTTATTTAATGTTCTTATTTCTTTTAAATATTCATCCAAATTCTTTTTCATATTTTCCTTCTCTTTTATCCATGAATCATTTGAATGAGCTATTTCTAGATCCTTTAACTTTTTCTACAACACAAAATAACAAAATAAAAAACACTTACAAAAACTAAAAAACTTCTTAATAGTTAAAATTAACCTGCATTTCCAATTTTTCTTTGTTCCATAAATCAACAGAACTGTTATATTTATCTTTCAACGTTTTTAACTCCAATTCAACTTTTAATGTGTCTTTTTTTCGACTTTCTAACAAACTAAAAAATAATTATAGCTATTAATTAAATGCTCAAAGAGTATAATAAAATAAAATTCATAATAATGGTGTTGCAAAATTTAAGTTTGTATACCATTGTAGTTTTTCTTTTTCTGCTGCCATTTTACTTTTAGCATCTATTTGTTCTTTTTGCAAAATGTCATATTTATTTAAAATTTCATTGTAATTCTTTCGCTCCATCATCTTTTCATTTTCTATTCCTAGTGAATTATTAATTCATTATAAATGTTAAAATATTAAGACTATTAAGTAAATAATTTATAAATGTATCAACTTTTTATTTTTTTTTCAAATTCATTTTGAATATCTATCATTTTTTTGTTTTCTTCAAAAGTTGATTGTTCTTGTAATTTTTTTATACTTTCTTCTTTGATTATTATTTCTTTTTTATGTATTGATTTCAAATGTTCAATTTGTTGTCTCTCACTCTATAAAAGTTAATAAATAGTATCAAAACCTATCATAACACCGTAGAATATAAACATTATCATATATATAAAATAAAAGTTTGTCTTTAAAATATCATTTTAGCACATGAATCTTATGTTCAAAAAACAAAAACGTATTATTATAATTTAAACTATTTACCTTAAGCTGACTTTCAAGGTCCGTTGTTTTAATTTCTAACTGCTTAATAGCCTTTGTTTGTTTATCAAAATCAGCTTTAACCTCTTTAGTCTAATAGTAAAAATATTTATTAATTACATTTTACTATTATATGTTTAAACTTCAAAACTACTAACATTACCTTGGATTGTGTTGGTTTTGATATTGGTTTATAAGTTTTTTTGGATGCTAATTTTGTTTGATAATCTAAAACTTTGGCTTTCAGTTGATCCTTTTCTAATTCAAATTCTTCTATTTTTCTTTTTAGCACTGTTATCTCCTACAATTTAAAGTGTTTTATATTTTAACTAAGACTTGTAAGTCACCTATTCTTAAATAGGTTAGGTATTATTTTTACAATATATTTTATTATATTTATGAAATATTTATGCAATTATCTATAACTTGTGTATACTTATATTACAGCAAATGGTACTTATAGAATAACATATAAATTACTTGTTCACTGAGCTCAAGAAGTAGTTTTAATTCTGTTGCATCTTCAACATCTGAAATTCCCTCATCTCTATCAGCAATATTTGTAGGGCGATAACCTATGAATCAATCATTGTATTCATTATTAGCTGATAGAAATTAAAAAAATCTATTATTACTTGTTTTTGTGGCCATTTTCTTTAGTTGCAACACCATTGACTCATTATCTTCTTCTAAACGACTCACTTTGTTCCTCAACATTTTAGCCTATAATTTTTATTTTTATTTAATATTAGTATTTTAATATTTATGATGTTGGGTATAAGTTATAACTGTATAAGGTCCAATATCAGTTATTGTATATACTATAACATTACTTCTTCTTCAGAAAATCTTAATTGCTCCCTCATATCTGCTTCTCTTTCAATTGAATCTTGTAAATCCCTCTGAAGTTGAACTGGATCTTCTTGGGAATCGCCTCGAGTTAATGACTCTCTTGAAACCCTCTAAACATTTAAACAATAAGTTATGATAGAACAATAAAAATAATAAACTACTTTTTTATTTATTCATAAACATTAAATAAGTACTTCTCCAGATGCAGACTTAGGTATCATGCCCAACATAGGTCTTTTTTTCTGATCCCCTTGCCCTTGTGTTACATTTGACTTAGATCTTTCTAAATCACCTTGTAATCGTTCTATTAACTGTGAATATTAAATTATATTTTAGTAACAATAATAATATTTATTACCATCTATGTAACTTACCTCTTTATTTTTTTTGTCATTTTCAACTTTTTCCTTATCTAACTCTTCCATTCTTCTCTCAGCTTTTTTTAATTTAAATGCTAAAATCCTACAATTCTTTGAAACTTGGTCAAATTCTCTTCGCAGCATAATAAATTCATTATCTTGCTCCTCTCTAAAATAAGAATTTTAAATCCAAAACATTTAGCATAAGTGTTTGTATATTTATTTAAATATAATGATATTTTTATTTAGCTTTAAAATAGATTGCAAGATTAATGATAAAATTAAAAAGTACATAAACAAAAAAGTAATTTACCTATTAGCAATCTCAAAAATGTATAAGCTTAATGAAAAAAGTAAAAAATAAGAATTCACGTTTTTTGTACAGAAACCACCCTCAAAGTTACCAACCAAGCGATTTGTACTGGAAGAAGGAGACGAAAAAAATACATTACAGTATAAAACCTTTATATGCATATGTTTGTTCAGAATATTTAAATAATATTATATTAATAACCACTAATAATATTAGTATTAAAATAAATGGTTTCAACTCTAAGAATAAATGAATATTTAACATTGTGGATAGTAATGCAGATATTAATACTCATTACATATTAATTTGTCATGTTAATACTTAACCGACAATATAGATTAGGAAAATATCATTATGGAACAATCAACAATGTTTGTACATTAATTATGACGTAGGCTACAGCACCGCCATTTTTAAGGAACTGTGAATAGGCAATCATCTACATGGCGATCTTTAATATTAATTAATAATTAGTAATTACCTATATATAATAATATTATATTATATAACTGTAATTTTAATGATATGGTAGGTATGTTTTCAGGATAAAAAGTGATCATTGGAGTAACTAGTAAACAATGGCAGTTATCCTTTAACCCAATAATCATAAGACGTACCTATATAACTATTATAACTATAGTAAGGTCACAGATTAGGTTACAAAGTAATATTCTAAATTAGGTATACATTTAAGTAGGTACCAACCGAAAATTATCTCTCATCTCTTGCTCCATATTATGTATCTCTTTATTTAAATCATTGTTTTCTTCTGTCAAATCCTCAATTTTAGTTTCAGCAGCTATTAACTTAGTACGAATAAGTTGAGCATCGTCTGACTTCACTTTAGTATTCTTGGTTTTATTGAGCTCAGCTTCTAATTCATGAACACGTTGTGTAAGCATTCTTTTTTCATCGCCAAGACTTTCACAAGTAGACTTCAAATCATTTATTTTTTGTTGGTGCTTCAACAACTATTATAATTAATGTTATTAAAATGTATCCGTGTTTTATAATGTTTTGTTTTTACTTCAGAAGCTGTTGTACGAGATGTCGGAGTTGTATCCAAAGACGCTAGTCGTCTTAATAAAACATCACTCTTTTCTCTTTCGGCTTTCTCACATTTTGCTTTGGTCAATTTTAATTCAGCTTTTAAATGCATAACTTGGTCCTGAAATTACACACGTCATTAGATTTCCATATTAATTGGTTACTTTACTAAAATTACAAGCGTATAATGTTACATTATTAATGTAGGTATTATGCTCACATGTAAATCTTCATCATTTATAATAGTCGCATAAGTATCAGTCGTAGTATCAGAATCAGCTAAACTAATAGTATCTTCATCATCATTATATATATTTTTATCATTTGGCGTTGATTTCATCTAAAATAAATCAATTTAAAACTATAACCCTTGTGAAATTTTGACTTCCCAAGTGAATATTAACATTGTTATGATGATATTAACATGCACCGGTGTATATTGGGCGATATCTCCATTGTAACTATTTCTTGGACTATGTAGATCCATAGAATCCTTGCGTGAAAGATTTGTTCTTCTCCGAACTGTATATTCTGGAATTGCCTGCTCGTCATCTAGAATTAAAATAAACAATATTTTACTTAAGTATATAGTAATTAAGAATTGCACTTTTAGAAAGTACAATTACCTTCTATATTTTCAACTTGAGATGTAACACTATCTGAAAGTGTTGTCAAGTCTGGTGTCGATGTCCATGACGTAGTCTTTCGACTAGGTCCACCACCTTTGTCCACTTTATAATAGTTTTTACCGTTGTTTGTTATCATGTCTGGTGACATATTTTTCAGACTCGTTGACTCATTTGTTGCCCTTTATTATTAATTAAAATTTGCTTCAATATTTTCTTAGGTAACTATAAAAAGGGTATACAAACTCGTTATTTAAAGCAGGAGTCGATAGTGTAGTATCATCTTTCCTAAGGGATGACTTTCCATTATCCTTATTCCTGTTAGAATGATCTTTATAGTCCCTGAGAACATAAATAGTGATGACTGTAAGTACTTCTTTAATTTTAACTATGTAACTTATAGCAATTAATACAAATATATTTTTAAAACAGTTTTGACAAATGTACATAGGTAATAAAAGGTCACTTATTTTTAGAACACTAAATATTTTTTCGGTAACATGATTAGAAAATATTTATCCATTTCTAAAAGGGTTCATAATTTTATTTTATAATATAAATTGGTAGTGTATATTTATGGTGGGTACCTATATATAAAACCTACTTATATTTTTATCAAAATTAACGCTCGGGCATAGTTACCTGGGTGCCACTTGTGAGTTCTTAGATAACATAGCCAATTAAAAAATAGCACTCCGAATTTTTTTAAAGTTCTTCATAGTTATTTTTTTATTTATCCTGTTTAAAATTAAGTTAATAAATTTATTTGTCAATCGTCATGATATTTCATAAACATATTTTGTTTTATTTGAATTTATTGTTATGGACATTTTTTTTTCAGTAAGCGTTGGTACATACAAATTAACAATTAAATAAATATACCTAATTTTTTATTTACTATGTAAATACAATACTATATTACTATAATTATTATTATTCCCTAGCATTGGCACAAATAACAAGCAAAGCTAATATTTATTTTTTATACCTAACTGGCAAATAAAGCTGATAAATTCAAATACCTATGTCAAAATTTTTTTTTAGTTTTATTGTGACTATTTTATCGATTATATTAAACAAAATAGTAGGTATATGTTCTTACTACTTAAAATTATATTTTATACCATATAAAAATCTAGAATACTAAATAATTTTAACTACGAATAAATAATATACCTTTATTCACTGACTATATATTTTCTAAATTTTAAAAACAAAAAGAAATTATTTTTGGAAGTACTGGGAATCGTTCTGATGATAGTGGCGTTCTCTGGAATCTGGACAATGTCAACCGATTCTTTAAATACATTATTCTAATTTAACTTCAGTTTGCAAATCACAATTTTACCATCTTACAACCCGTCTTTAATGATTTAATATTTTAAGTACCTCCAAAATGTCATCTCTAATTTTTATGTAGTTGCAACAATCATAAATGCTGCAGAAAATCTGAATATGTATATAGATACCTACCAACATAATATAATATGTTGTATTGTTGTATGATAAATATGTACAATATATATATATAGAACAATTAGAAAATATTTACGATAAAAAGGTTAGATTATTTAAATTCAAAACTACATACCGATCAATCATGCAAACGTGTTCACTATGTGATCTTTAGCATTTCATTAAAAACTATATAGGTACACACATACTGACATACATACTAAACACCTACCTATGCACCCGAAATAAATATTGCTAATTTCATTGCAGTCTTCTAAAATGTTAAAAGGTTAATCTGCTTATCAGTTATCTTTAATACATAGGTACATATTCTGCAATCTGCATAACTATACAATAAATATGTATCTAGCTATTTACAATAATAACTTAATATAATTTATAGTCATATAGATATAAGATATGTATAATATAATGTATACAGCCATACAGGTCCTGCTGAAACTTGAAGTGGTGTCACAGGACAGGACACAGCTAGGACACTTCTTATTCGCTCAAGTTGACACGTCTTCTATATTAGTTATATTTCTTATTATAACTTTTACTTACCTACTGGCTACTGTATTACACATTTACACTATTGCAGTATTACCTGTGTACAGATTGTAAATATATTATTTTATAAATGAAAAACAATAAAAAATATGCACCAACGCACAGATAATAAATGATTATAATAGTACAATCTAAAAAGATGCAGTGGCGCACTAAAGGGGATGAACACCAGGACTTACCCTCCATTGACGCACATGGTGTTAAAATTCAGGGAATACTAAATTATTGAAGCTTCATAGACCAATGGGTGTCCTCCTCCCCTCCCCCTCAAATCTTTATTTACAAATAAATAGGAAATCAAAATATATTTAATATATTTACATACAAATTATAAAATTAATTAATTTGGCCCCTACCCTTTGAAAAGCGTATCAAATATAAAAAAAATATAACGTTTAATTTTTATACGCTAGATTTATAGTTTTTTTTAAATTTAGTGTAATATAATAAATTCCTCTTTAGCAAACGATTGGTAGTATTTTTCCTGATTATCTCCCCTGTAATTGGCTTTTACTTCTTGCACTATGCATACATAGGTACACTTTTTTTAAGATATAATAAATGGATTTGTAATTTTCGACCCCATCCATGAAAAATCCTGTTGCGATGCTGGAAGGCGGAAAGATATATATAATATATGAAAATACAAAGATTGCCTAATAAATCATGTAGGCGCATTTATTTTATATTATATAGGTATAGCAGTGACATAGCTAAGGAGACTTTAGCCCCTCCTCCCATCAAAATTTGAGATAGTTAAAAATTATTTCTATGATGGTCTGTGAAAGTTACGGCAAATACGAATTCGTATAACCGTGTACAGGAACCGAAATCTAAATTAAAGCCTATTGGCATCAGTATTCAGTATCTATATATTTTATACTAACTTATGTAAGATCCCATAATAGTTCAATACCTATAGTCTACTAACTCTGTGTAAACACATTATTGGTCCCTCCCCCCACACCCCCATAGAAAAATCTTGTCTACGCCACTGAGGTCCATAATATAATATGTAGGTATATTAATGAACCATAAGCTCTTTAGTACTAACACACATTATCATAATATTACAATTATATATAATACAAATATGGTTCACCTGAAACACCGTTTGCATCTGGTCGGCCAACGGACTTGCGGGTGGAATCCGAGCGGACACAGCGGGTCGCCTTTCGCGGATGGTTTAACATGTTGCATTTTTCGCGAATTAATTTCCAAAAAAAAAAATAACAACAACACACGCACACACACTTGCGTGCAATTCGTTTCCGTTACACACACATACGATTACTGCTATTTAATAATAATATTATTATTATATTATGTCCGTCACGCTATATAATAGTATATTATGCGCCCACCCTATACGGGTAGGTGTACAGTTGTAGTTGTACGATATACGTATAATTATGACGGTCGTGTACAAAATATATATCGTACGGGCACCTCCTCTATAAATGGCGTTTTACCTGTTCTCGATCGTCATCGTGGCGCTATTATAATAAAGCGAGTGGTTTGGCGAAAACTCGCGCACTGAGCTCGACACACACACACACACACACATTTATTCCGCGCATTATTTTCGTTAGGCCATTTCGATACGAACAATATAAATACATATACGTACCTATATATATATATATATATATATATACATACCATATACATGTATTCCGTGAGACGCGATTCTTCGCTGGGATTTCGCTCCGCCCATGACTGCCCGTCTCGGTATAAATAAACTTTGCTCGTGCTACCGCCGCCACCGATCTCTGCACATAGTATTATTATTACTCGGGAGTCGGGACATTTATATATTATTTTATACGCCAGCAGAGCCGTTTGCGGTGTAAACAACGACGAATGGCCGATTTAATTACGGGAAGAATTCCCGAGACCCGAGAATTCTGGAAAACTAAAAAATTCTATGTGCGTCGTATACACGACGATGAGTTACGAGTTACGATTGGAGGTACCTACCCATCAGGGGGTAAAAGGGGCTTACAGGGGGAGGGGCGCAAAAAATAGTTGCCCTCGTGAAATGGTTTTATTTTTGTTTTTGTTATTCTCAACCGGCGTTACAGGTAGATACATTTGCGTTGGTAATTAATGTCTGAAAAAAAAACGGCAAGATAATAAATAGTGGTGGGTGTATTGTGCTTACAAAGAATTTCGGATAAACCATTTCATTCATTTGTTTCAGGATATATAGTGCATCACTACGTGACATGAGTATAGAATGTACGCAACAAGAGATGGCCAAAGAGCAAGGTAAATTTTTGGGCCCCCCATTTCAAACCTTATTATGTCTGAAAAGAGCCATCTAAATATAATAATTGGGCCCTTTTGGGAGTGCTGTGCACCCCCAGCACCCCCCTCTTCCCTAATTGCAGCACTGCGTATAAGGAATAAAGTCACACTCCAAGGGTAAAATAATAGTAAAACCAATACATAATAGACAATTTAGTTAATAGGTACTATTATACACTAATATCTATAATTTTTCAATGGTAAATATGTAGAGCAGTGGACCCCTCGGAGGGTAATTTTGAATGAACAGTTTTGAACTTCTTCAAAATGTTAACCCTAGTTACGCCTATGTACTATACTGCAACTACTATTTATTTACTATTTTGCGCAAAATGTGTAAGAAGCACAGAAACAATAATGTGCAAGAACAAATTTTGTTATAACATATTTATATATTATGTACCAAATACCAATATTAAATTATGGTCGGAAGACGATTTTTCGGGGAAGTTGCCCGTCATAACGCGTTCATTATATTGTGACCGCCGACCGGTGCTTAGGTATTGTAGGCACAGACAGTGGCAGAATTCAAACATTTTTCTGTGTGGTTCTGAAAAATAATACGTACTACAAAAGTAATATTTTTGTTTTTATCAAAAACAAGTAGGTATTTAAAATATATAAATCGGTGTTTGTGGGGGGAGGGGGAGGAGTCCCGTGCCCCTGGACCACGCTGTAAATCTGACACGGGTGCCGGTACATCTACCACGGTATCGACGTCGACGGTGGTTACCACTAAACGCCAAGTCGTGGCGCCATAGATGAGGCACCCGGCACAGACGACCAACCGCAGTACCATGATGCTATTATTGTTTACTACTATACATTACTATTATTATTATACGTTTATTTATGTAAGATTTAATTATATCCACACTCGGCACTCCGCAGAATGCGTGTGTATTATATAATATTATTACATTGTAGATTAATTTATATCTCTGGGTTGACGATTGACGCCACCGATTGGGTCAAATCTTATCCAGCAGGTGCACCTATCGCGTGCGTATGCCGTCGCCTAAAAATAAATTGGACGTGAATGTGTGCGTGTCTGCAGCAATAGGTCAATGCAGTCAGTAGTATTTACGGGCATACTATATAGGTGGGTAGGTAAAGACTAATGAGTGCTGCAAGTAAGCATAATAATTACCTAAATGTTTAATGTATAAAACCGTAATAATTAATATTGTTAAATTATTCATCATTGTTACTATTATGCTATTGATTATTTCATACTTCTACATCGCTGACTACTGACTAGGGATATAAAGAATTGTAAACGCTACAATAGGTAGGTAATAGGTATACAATATGTATAGTATAGGTAATAGTATAATATGCGCAGTGCACCATGTACGCCGTAATAATAAAAATAATACCTAATGATAATAATATTATGTTTCCGCGTAAGGTTATTTTTAAAACACGACAGCGGTGCACTGCAGGACTAAACTACAATGTATTTTTAATCGTTAAAAAATATGCAAATTCACATTGTATACCTACCTAAAATATGGCTATATTATGTATTTATGCTGTCACAGTGACACTATATAGGACATTTGTAAACCGAGAATATGTGTGTATCATAGAATATAAATGTATTATACGTGTTACGTGTACACATCAAATAAAATATAATAAATACAAGTACCTATATATACCAATATTGAATAATATAACAAATCCCAACTATCTCCTGAACACTAATAAAAATTAATGTGATGCGAGTAGTAGGTATTGCCGTATTGGGTTGTTCAAAATTAGGTAGTATTTTATAATGAACAATGAAAATGTACCTATCCATGTAGATGTAACTATAATGTAAGATGGTATTTAGGTGTATTTTGAATTTTATTTGTTTGACGAAAAAACAATTTTTTTTAATGGCTATTATTATTTCTATAAAATAATTATCAGATCCCTCATCGTTTATAGTAGTGTATTCTACTTATACACACCAATCACATAAAATATGTATAATATATAATTTTACTGTACGTGTGTATGTCACTGAACTCCTAAACGGCTGGACCGATTTGAATGAAATTTTTTGTATGCGTTTGGGTGACGCCCTGGATGGTTTAGATTCACAATTGGACCCGATAGGTCCGACCCGGCGAGTTGCTCAAACAGGGATTTTAAGATTTCCGAAGGAAATATTTGTTTCATACGGTTGCTATTGGTTATAGGAGAAATATAAAAATATTTAGTAGAAATTGGTTTTTTTTTCTTTTAATTGGTTGCCTGCAGTGGTTCATTGGGCAGATTAGGTATAAGCATGGATACAATTGAATTTTCGCACATTGCCTACCAAGATGGCTGAGTTGCACTTATAAGTTATGGCCGCTCATCGGCGTGTCCGCAATCAAAATCAAATATATTATTTATACAAAGTGCTCACTGCTCAAACTGGGTCCGCAATCCACAGCAGGTAGGCATTATATATACTGCTTGCATTATCACCATCGAGTCTCATATAGAGTTGGCATTTTTAACGGGCAACAAAGTGCACGGAATTAGCTAGTGTATATATACATAAAATTTGAATTTTCGCTTTTGGTTTTCCAACACATGTTGAAAGAATATTCGATTTTTATACACCTACTTTAATACAAATAATGTTTTAACCTTTAACAAAATATTAGATATGGCCTTTATACACCTTGTTGATTTTTTTCACATTTCTACTTTATTCGCCTAAATATCACCAAGATAGAATGACCTTTAAATGTTGAACAGCATTGAACAATAGGTACTCAAGAATAATTAAGGTGCATATATGTTACAGTGACATAGGTCATAATTCTATAAGTATAGATGATTGCTATCTCAAAGCATATTACCTTAACACATACTTTTAAATTTTATATTACATAATTGGTC